TCTGTAAGGACTGTACAGGTCTGGCTGGTGAGGAAGACAAGTGCAGTTGGGTTTGTCCAGCCTCCTGCACAAAGCACAGAGGTTCCATCTGGGTCCGCAGGGGTCCTGCCCAATCTGGAAGATTGTTCTGACAATAGTAGTTCCTAGGATCACTTAGGTCAAAAGAGACTGCAGACCAGTTAGGATTTTTAAAAATTTTCCTGTGATCCTAAATACTCTTCTTTTTTAATGGGTTCAGCCATATATCACTCTAACAAGAACATGTGAATATTGCTAGGCTATAACAGAACCTTCAATAGCGATTTTGTTCTGCCAGTTGGCCGCTATTATTCTTTGTCTCCCCAAGTTTTGGCTGTAAACATTCCAGTCATCCCAGAGTTTTATAAGAGGTGTTTCGGATTGAAATGCAGATTAGAAGCATGGAATGGGGAAGTAGGGCAGAAATGATATGTATGACACCTGCTGTCTCCCACTTTGTTAGCAGTGTCTCTGCATTTTTTAATGGTTTCTGGAGAGGTTACTTAATAAATATTTTTACCTCACTCTTGCTGGCAGGAAAGTTATATGTGCCTGTGCTACTAGTAAAATTATGGTAGAATAGAGTTTATTATTGGGATTTGACTTTTTCCTCCAGTATATTTCCAGTGATACCATCCACCTTTTAAAAAAAGGTCACATCTCTTGTGTTGCATTCAAAGCGTTTGCAGAAAGTTCTCTTGTGAGTATGCTTTTATAATTGGGAAAATTTGTATAGTAGTTCATGGAAATCCACTTAATGTCAAGAATTTTTAGACTTAACAGCTGGTTTATAACAGGAACAAATGAAAACTTAGAGCATTTTCTTCTTATTTCAGAAAATTATACATACTTTTAAAAAAATAATGGGGAGAGAGTGTTCCTAGAAGATTCTGACTTAAAAGAATGTCAGGGTTGGATATACTGGACAGTGTCACATATGTCTGGATTTTTCTCTCTTGGGATATTTGCCTTAATGTTTAATGTGGGCTGTAATTTTTCTTTTATAGTTTATAAATTCTAGAGTTGGTCACAAATGTGTATTTCAAAGTGATTTTTTTATCACCCAGGGAGCTTCCCCCCCAAATTTACTTATGAAAAAATTTCAAGCTATGAAAGAGTTGAAAGAAATGTGACTATTACATATGTATATTTATTTAGAGTCTATAATTAACATTTCCCTTCTTGCCTAATGACACAGTTCTCCAACTATCCATCCCTCCATCCATTCATGAATCCATCCTACTTTTTGTTTTTAATAATTTTATTTATTTTTTGGGTCTTTGATGCATGGGCTTTTCTTTAGTTGCAGCAAGTGGGGCTATTGTCTACTTGCGGTGCATGGGCATCTCGTTGTGGTGGCTTCTTTTGTTATGGAGCATGGGCTCCAGGGCACCAGCTTCAGTTGTTGAGGTTCCAGGGCTCTGCAGTTGCAGTTCCCAGGCTCTAGAGCACAGACTCAATAGTTTAGGCACTCCGGCTTGGTTGCTCCGTGGCCTGTGGGCTGTTCCCAAACCAGGGATCAAACCTGTGTCTCCTGCACTGGCCGGCAGATTCTTTACCCCTGAGCCCCAGGGAAACCCGCATCTTCTTTTTTATGCATTTCAAAGTAAGTTGCAGGCACCAGTATGCTTCACTCCTAAACACTTCAAGCATGCATGTCATTAACTAGAGTTTAGGATTTCTTTCTTTTTTTTTTTTTTTAGGATTTGTTTCTTAAAAGGAAAAAGTGCCCTTTAAGAAGAACACTTGAAATTAATCAAATTCCTTTGTCTTCCTAAAATGTCTATCTAAAATGTTCAGTTTGGGGAGTTCCCTGGTGGCCTAGAGGTTGGGATCCAGGCTTTCATTGCCTTGTCCTAGGTTCAGTACCTGGTTGGGGAACTGAGATCCTGCCTGCATGGTGCAGCAAAAAAAGAAAAAAAAATTTATTTTAATTGATAAGATGTTCAGTTTGGTTTTATTTTTATTTTTTTTTAATGCTACTTTAGATGCTGACTGATATCAATTAGAAAAAATGAGAATTGCCTGATTCTCAAAACTCTTACAGACAACTGTGGGACTGTCACAAGGCCCCACCCACCCCTGTGGTGCGTGGTTAGGGCTAGGGCACCTCCTCGGTATCTCTCCTTCCTCTCAGAAGCAGCAGCAGCCCAGATGGTCACGGGTTTTATCTGCGACTATCCAAAAAACCTGGTCATGTTAGAACAGAAAAAGCAAGGGGAAAAGAACTTTAGGGTAAGGTGTGTGGGGGGGTGTGTGCCTAGTCACAAAGTCGTGTCGCACTCTTTGCAACCCCATGGACTGTAGCCCACCAGGCTCCTCTGTCTATGGAATTTTCCAGGCAAGGATACTGGAGTGGGTTGGCACTTTCTTCCCAGGGGATCTTCCCAACCCAGGGATCGAACCCAGGTCTCCTGCACCGCAGGCAGATTCTTTACCAGCTGAGCTACTCGGGAAGCTGCTAGGGTGTATATAGCATGCATAGCACAGTATAAAGTGTGTTCAAACAGGACTCTGGTCTTTACTTGGGTGGTTCTTTGGGCAGTTTTTCACTGAACTTTCTTGGCTTCACTTTCAAAATCAAACCCAATAATAGTCCGATGGAAATTTGTATACATAGGCTTGTAATATTTCACACAAAGAATAAAATTATTTTCCTGGAGAAATAAGATGATGTAAATTTGATGAGGAATTTGGAGATGCAGATAGTTGCATTTCCAAAGAATTTCTATATTTCAAATACTTACTGCTATGTTCTAAACACTGGTATCTAAACTGGCTATGTATTTTGTTACAACATTATTTGGACCTTTTTGTGTGTCAGTTCAGTCCAGTTCAGTCGCTCAGTCGTGTCTGACTCTGCAACCCCACGGACTGCAGCACTCCAGGCGTCCCCGTCCATCACCAACTCCTGGTGCTTGCTCAAACTGATGTCCATCGAGTTGGTGATGCCACCCAACCATCTCCTCCTGCCTTCAATCTTTCCCAGTATCAGGGTCTTTTCCAATGATTTAACTGACTCATTGGAAAAATTTGCATCAGGTGGCTTAAGTATTGGAGCTGCAGCTTCAGCATCAGTCCTTCCAATGAATATTCAGGACTGATTTCCTTTAGGATGCACTGGTTGGATCTCCTTGCAGTCCAAAGGCCTCTCAAGAGTCTTCTCCAACACCACAGTTCAAAAGCATCAATTCTTCGGCGCTTGGCTTTCTTTATAGTCCAATTCTCACATCCATACATGACTACTGGAAAAACCATAGCTTTGACTAGACAGACTTTTGTTGGCAAAGTAATGTCTCTGCTTTTTAATATGCTATTTAGGTTGGTCATAGCTTTTCTTCCAAGGAGTAAGCGTCTTTTAATTTCATGGCTGCAGTCACCATCTGCAGTGGTTTTAGAGCTCCACCCCACCTCCCAAATAAAGTAATACTAAGTAGAAAAGCAAACAAAAAGCAATACTAAGTAGAAAATTTTAAAAATTCGGACAAGTAAAGCTAAAGTATGTTACATTCTCATCATCCAGAAGTCATATGTGGATGGTGTGTGTGTGTGTAAGAAAGAGAGATGGACAGAGTTTTTAAACCAAAATGAGGTCGTGGTATATAGACGTATGTTAGCCTGTTTTTCTTTTCAGTCAAAATTTCTACCCTTTCATTTTGGTAAAAATGGGTCACCTCTAATCTCAAATCATTCTCCCAAGAAGAGCCAAAAGTGTCACTGAGCTGATGTGCTCTAACAAATATCCAACTGAGGTCCACGCCTGGCATCTCTGGTTGTTAGGTTTCTTAATTTTTTAAATTTAGCACATACCACCCTTTATTAAACCGCATTGACTAGCTTCTTTAACCCACAAGTTTTAAAATATAAACCTATCAGAAAAAATAGAATAAGCACCTCTGTACACGTGACCTAATTCACTATTCACTGATGTTTTATCTCATGCTCTTTCCTTCTCTCTCTTCTCTTCTCCGTGCCCCCTCATTCTCTCTCCTTAAACTATTTAAAAGTGATTTGTAGGCAATCCATTTGTATTTATGTTTGATTTTTATCTTTTGCGACATTGATGTTTCAGTCCAGGCTGGTTATTTTATAGGATGTTCTTCATTGTGGGCAACTGCTTCCACACGATTCAGTCCTATTAAACATTTCTGTCTGTCAGGAGTATTATGTGGGTGATTTACTGGCCTTCTCAGTGCCTCACATTGGGAAGCATGATAACAGTTTTGTCCTGTTACTGGGGATGTTAATTCTGATGGCGTGGTTACGGCAGTGGCTGGAAGATTTCTCCATTGTAAAGGAACTTGTTCCTTTTGAAATGAAGTCACCTGTGTGTTGATCCTCTAAAACTGTAGGTGTGCTGACCATCTTTCACCCCAAAATTTTAGCATCTTTTGATCCTTGACTGATGAGTTATTAGAATAGTGTTAGTATATGTGATTTTTTTTCCTAAGTCTGTTGACAAACAGCCAACTGGGCATTCCCAAATAAGGCAACCGCTTAAGCTATAGTCAATCAAATAATTTCCTTGCTTTGGTTTCAAACTTCGTCTGTAAAAATGTTCCCCCCAACTCTTGTCTTTTTAAAAAAACATTATTTATTTGGCTGTGCTGGGTCTTAGTTGCAGCGTGCAAGGTCTTCTTTGGGTCATGCACAATCTTTTGTTGCAGCTCAGGACCCTCAGTGGTGCTGTGGCCACTTACCTATAACTAATTTTTTCTTGCTAGTTGAATTTGTTAACTTTCCCTCTAAAAGGAACAGAAAGAGCAGAGTAGTACCTTTGAACCTGAATTTTTAAAGATCATTTGAAAGCTGCGTAATCTGTTGAAATTTACAGATGCTGGTAAGACCATTACCGGATCTTGATCTTGGAATTGCTCGACTGTTAAAGTATTCACTGGTCATGGTTTTTAAATATTTAATTTTTTTGAATTATAATCATGTCTGTCTTTTTCTTCCCCACCACCCCCTCTTTCTGTTAATAGTTGGACAAAGAGAATCTGAAGATGTGAGTGAAAGGGACTCAGACAAAGAGATGGCTGCTAACTCAGCGGTGGTTCAAGACATCACGAAGGAGGGGAAGGAGGAAATGCCTGAGATGATGGAACCCATCCCTGCCTCAGAAAGCAGCGTGGATGAGCTGATGCAACCCCCTGAGCCCCAGGCTAACGACGTGGGATTTAAGAAGGTGTTCAAGTTTGTCGGCTTCAAATTCACCGTGAAAAAGGATAAGACCGAGAAGTCTGACAGCGTGCAGCTCCTCACCGTCAAGAAGGATGAAAGTGAAGGGGCAGGAGAGTCCGATGGGGCTGGTGACCACCCGGAGCCCAGCCGCGAGACCGGGGGCGCGACACCCAAAGACGGTGAACTGAAACAGTCCACCGAGAAACCCGAGGAGGCCCCCGGACGCGAGCAGAGCTGCACGGAAATCTCCCTTCAGGCCGAGGCTGGTCAAGCAGCTGAGGAAGGCAAAGATGAAGGAGAAGAGAAACAAGAGAAAGAACCCGCCAGACCTGCAGATTCCCCGACTAGTCCCGTGGCCAGCGAAACCGCCTCGCCCTTCAGAAAATTCTTCACTCAAGGCTGGGCCGGCTGGCGCAAAAAGACCAGCTTCAGGAAGCCCCGGGAGGAGGAGCTGGAGGCTTCCGAGAAGAAGAAAGAACAGGAGCCCGAAAAAGCCGAAGAAATCGAAAAGACCGAAGAGCCCGGCGAGCAGCCGCCCGCCCAGGAGGCCCCCGAGAGCACCCAGGAGGCCAGGCTGTCGGCCGAGTATGAAAAAGTGGAGCTGCCCCCTGAAGACCAAGCGCAGGCACCTCCCGAAGAGAGACCAGCTCCGTTAGCAACCGAGGTGTTTGATGAAAAGGTAGAGATTGTCGCCGAAGTCCACGTTAGCACTGTGGAGAAGGACCAGGAAGAGCCGGAAGCCGAAGCAGAAGAAACAGCGGCACTCTCGCCACCGGAAAAGTCGACCGAGACGAGCGCCGACCTTCCGGAAGCCGAGTCGGCAGAGATGCTGAAGACGGAGGAAGACGCGGGCACCCTGAGCGGGGAACACTCCCAGGCAACTGAGCTTAGCGGGGAAGCAAAATCGCCGTCCACGCCCCCCGAGGGCACCGTGAAGGAGGCCGAAATGCTGTCCTCGCAGGAGAGAATTAAGGTGCAGGGGAGCCCTTTAAAGAAACTGTTCACGAGCTCCGGCTTGAAAAAGCTGTCTGGAAAGAAACAGAAAGGGAAACGAGGCGGCGACGAGGAGTCCGGGGAGCAGCCCCCAGCCTCCGTGGATTCTCCCGACAGTCCAGACGAACCGAAGGGCGGCGAGAGCTCAGCTTCGTCTCCAGAAGAGCCCGAGGAGATCACCTGTCTGGAGAAAGGGGTGGCAGAGGCCCCGGGCCAGGATGGGGAGGTGGAGGAAGGGACCACTTCCGATGGGGAGAAGAAGAGGGAAGGTGGTGTTACCCCCTGGGCATCTTTCAAAAAGATGGTGACGCCCAAGAAACGCGTGCGAAGGCTCTCTGAAAGCGATAAGGAGGACGAGGCAGACAAAGTCAAAAGCGCCACCCTGTCCTCCACGGAGAGCGCGGCCTCCGAAGTGCAGGAAGAGGCCAAAGGGAATGGAGAGGAGCCGAAGCCCGAGGAGCCCAAGCGCAAGGTCGACACCTCCGTGTCCTGGGAAGCCCTGATTTGCGTGGGGTCATCCAAGAAGAGAGCCAGGAAAGCATCCTCTTCCGACGACGAAGGGGGACCAAGACCCCTCGGAGGGGAAAGCCAGAGAGCAGAGGAAGCTGGCAGGGACAAGGAGCCGGGCCCAGAGGCGGCCGCTGCCGGTTCCCAGGACCACGAGCAACCGCCGGGAAGCTCCTCACCCGAGCCGGCCGGCAGCCCGTCCGAAGGGGAGGGCGTCTCCACTTGGGAAACCTTTAAAAGACTGGTCACCTCGAGAAAAAAATCGAAGTCAAAACTGGAAGAGAGAAGCGAAGACTCTGTAGCTGGGCCTGGCGCAGAACATGCAGCCTCAGAGGCTGAGCCGGGGAAAGAAGAGTCTTGGGTTTCCATCCGGAAGTTTATTCCCGGGCGAAGGAAGAAACGGCCAGATGGGAAGCAGGAACCAGCCGCCGTCGAAGAGGCGGGGCCAGTGGAGGCCAACGAGGACGATTCGGACATCCCAGCCGTAGTCCCTCTGTCTGAATATGATGCGGTGGAAAGAGAGAAAACCGAAGCCCAGCAAGCCCCCAAGAGCCAGGAGGGGCCCGAGCAGAAGCAGGTGGATGTCGATGGTGTGTCAGAGGAGCTCAGCAAGAGTCTGGTTCACACCGTGTCGGTGGCTGTCGTGGACGGGACAAGGGCCATTAGCAACATCGAAGAAAGGGCGCCCTCCTGGATCTCAGCGTCGGTGACGGAACCTCTGGAACAAGCCGAAGACGAAGCCACACCACCAAGCGAGGAGGTGCTTGAAAGAGAAGTCGTCATGGAGGAAACCCCCATTGTTACCAAAGCGCTGCCAGAGGGCCAGGAGGCTGGTGATGACACGATGGCCAGCGAGGTGGAATTAACCTCGGAGGCCGTGACAGCTGCCTCTGGTGCGGAAGAGACCGCAGACATGGTTTCGGCTGTCTCTCAGTTAACCGACTCCCCAGACACCACCGAGGAGGCGACACCAGTGCAAGAGGTGGAGGGCGGTGTGCCTGACGCGGAGGACCAGGCGAGGAGGACCCAGGAGGTGCTGCAGGCCGTTGCAGAAAAAGTTAGAGAAAAGTCACAGCTGCCAGACGACGCCATCCAGACAACCCAGAAAGGACACACCAAAATACTGGAGGACGTGGAAGAGGCTGAGGAGGGTTCTCAGGCCCTCGATCTGAAGGAAGTGATGGACGAAGCATCCAAAGGGCTTATCCAAGATACTGAAACTGAGACTTTGACACAGGAGAAGGTGGTTGCCGAGGCCACCGTGGAAAGCTTGGAAGAAGTTCCTCCAGGCACAGAGAGTGCAGAGGCCAGGGAGTTGGTGAGCACTTGTCTGGCTGAAACCGGAACTGGAGTAGAAGGAGAGACTGCCCCAGAGCAAGCTGTTGCTCCTGACTCAGCGGAAACCCTCACGGACAGTGAGACCAATGGAAGCACCCCAGTAGCAGATCTTGATGCTTCAACTCTAAGCCAGCCAGACAAGAGCATGGATGACCACGAAGATGGTGAGGTTCCAGCCGGCACTCAGTCCCAGGTCCCCGAAGGCAAGGCACTTCCTGCACTGAAAGAGCTGCCTGCAGCATCTTCTGATTTTCAGTCGCAGGACGAAAGGTCTTCAAAGATGGCAGAGGGTCTAGAACACACGGATGAAGAGGAAGGAACAGTGGAGACTGTAGCCATCCTTTCAGAGACTGAGGTGATTCAAGAGACTGGCCAGTGCTCTGACGAGGAAGCCAAAGAAGAACCATCCGTGGAAGGACTTGCTGTGTCTACCGACACAGAAATAACTGAGAAAAAAATAACTGAAGTTGTCCTTGAGGAGGACGTTACTAAGAAAGTTGAATTTCAAGAGAATGGTAATCTAGAACTCCACAGTCCTGCTAAGTCTCTTCCAACCCCAGCAGAGAGAGAGATGGTAGTTGAAGGGAAAAGGGAGACAGTGGAAGTGGAAGCAACCGAAGGGAATGAAGAGAAACTTGAGCACGAACCAGCTGTGGCCGTTTGTGAAGAGCTCAGTAAGCAACTGGTTCAGACAGTGAATGTCACCATCATCGACGGGGAAAAGGAAGTCGTCAGTTTTGAAGGAAGTTCTCCCCTGCTGGCGTCTGAGGAAGAGGCAGGCACAGAAATCCCAGTTCAAAGCTCGGAGGCAGCGTTAGCTCTGATAGCTGCAGCCGTGGAGGAGAAGGTCTTAGGAGAAGCGATCAAGATTGTAGAAACAGCCGAAGCTTTGAAATCTGCAGAAGCACGTCTAGTACCAGAAGAAGAGTCCTCAGAAAAAGACAAAGATTTTCCTGCTCAGCCTGGGGAAGAAGATGTGGCATCCACAGGCACTGAGTCTCAAGCAGAATCAATACCAGTGATAGTATCTATTACGCCTGGAAAAGACATCAGCGCTGACCTGGAAGGAGATGAAACCACATCACAGAAACGGGAGTTGGATGGAGATGGTGAGCAGGCTGCTGGTCAGGAAGGCAGAGAGAGCAGCACAGGAGAGGAAGACGGCAAGGCGGAAAGTGAGATTTCGAAACTTGAGAAGGAGAGCTGCAGACTTGTACAGAGCGTGATTCAGACAGCCGTTGACCGTTTGGGGAGTACGGAAGAAACGGCCACTGATGTCCAGACGCAGGCTCAACTGGCAGAAGCCGACAGCCAGGAAGTTGAGCAGAAAACGGAGAAAGAAAGCGAACCTCCGGCCTGCCTGATGGATGAAACACAAGCCGTAGAAGCCAAAGAGGAGCCCCCACTAAGCACCGGGGAACACGCGCATCCCAGCGTTTCCAAAGATACAAATGAAGCTTCAGAGAAGGTGGCGGCCATTAGCATAGAAGGTTCCAGGGTAGACGACCAGCAGCTTGAAGAGGTAGCTCTCCCATCCCAGAAAAAGAGAGAAATCCCTGAAACCGAGTCTGTGCTGCAAGATGACGGCAGTGCCGAGTTTGGAGAAAGAAAGAAGTCACCATTTGAATCCCAAGAAGATGAAAAAGGTGATGCTGCCGGTGACCCTGGAAACCAGACCTCAACCCCGGAGGATGCTGAGGCCTCGGGAGGCTCGACCAAAGAGTCCCAAGATACAAATGGACCCAAACTGAAAGAGAAGGGAGACAGCCAGGAGGGAAAAGTGCAGAGCGAGTTGGAAAAAGAGATGAAAACACAAACACAGGAGGAGACGCAGAGCCAAGAGAGAGATCTGGCGAAACCCGAACCCACGGAATCTTAAAACATCATGTGAGTAACTTCTTTTTTTAAAAAAAAATAATTTCCCCCTTCACCCACTCCCCCCCAACCCCCCACCCCCCCGCCCCCGCATTCAGATGGCTGATTTGTTATGAGTTCAAATAATTAGGGTTTTACCCCAAACCTACATCTGGGGAAATAACCATCAGTCAGATTAGGAGACCCAGGTTAGTTCCCTTTTTCTCATTGACATACCCATCAGTCTTACTGGTGTCCTAAGAGTAGTGAGTTCATTTTACCCCCTGGTATGACTGCTTTCTAAGAAAATTAAGAGGCCTGTGTGTGTGCACACAAGTGTGCATTTGTGTATGTGTTTGGCCCGAGGACATAATATGTTGTGCTCACTCAGCACCATACCAGCTAGTTTGTTGTATTTTTTACAAAATAACTATAGAAGTCCAAAGTAGGTTTATACGCTGCTGCTTGAAATGTAATTTATAGCTCTCTGGGGAAAATATTGATTTCTTCCAGCATAGTGACAAGCACTTTAAAAACATTTCCATTGCATATGAGAGCCTAACTACTGCTGTTTGGGTATGGGTTGGCCAGAAAGTTCGTTTGGGTTTTTCTGGAACATCTTAGGAAAAAATCCGAACAAACTTTTTGGCCCACTCAATAGCAAAGGACATTGTATTATGGACCATGTTTCTTTCTTACGGGGTTCAACCTATGGTTTTCACTAGGGTTCCCATTGGCCTCATCTCCCTCTCACAACTCTTAGTGCTACTGCAGAAATGAGAGAGGAAAAGCAGATTTCATTTACTTTTGATTCTGACTTCCTTCCACAGTTACACTTTTGTACTTGCAAGACCAGAATGTGAAGACCAGTAGGGGAAGAAATTGAATGCTGCTGACGAGACCAGTCTTTCAGAACTTTGGAAACCGAAGAACAGACATGTCAACTGCTCTCATTTCCCGAGAACCCCTGACAATCCTGAGGCTTCATCGGGAGCTATACCGGATAACATTTCCTCTTGTCAAGACCACACTGACATTTTCCCTCGGTACCATATAATGTTTCTGATTCAAGGTCCTCAATTCTTAGCCCAGAACTGGAGTTGGCAATTCCTGGTTCTGCTTCTCAAACTGGAGTATCATTCTTTATGTATTTATATGTATGTTTCAAGTAATCCTCCTGTATCTATTGTATATTTTTTTTCCTTTTACGTCTAAGGAAATGTACAGCATAGTGCAATTCCTTTTGTATCACACATTATACGAGGGGGCATGCGGCCACGGTCAAGTCTCGGAAAGCTTTCTGCTGCCTCAGTTACAGCCTTTGAAAAACAGCTCTCTAGAAATAACATTCCTGATCAGAAGCTCCACCTCTTTTAAAATTCACTAAGGATTAGATTCCCTGTTCAATATCACTCTGAAATAGGTCACTTTCCTATTATGCGTAGTATGCTAAAAATAAAAGGCGGGGTTTTTTTTTGTTTTTTTTTTTTTTTTGCGGGGTGGGGGGTAGTGGGGAGACATACAGAATGTCCCATTGTTACTGGGAAATTTTTCTTCCTAGCCCCCGGGTGGAGGTTGGAAGGAAGTTTTTTTTCAGGAGCAGATTAAGTTGGAGTCTTTTCTCCTGATTGTTATGGTTGTTTGGACGGATGCGTGTGCTTTCATTTTGAGGCAAAGTAGTGAAATGTTTTCACGTTATCAAGAAAAGAATTGACTGCTTTTGAGTTGACCTTACATGCTGGACCCCCATTCACACACAGCACCAAATAAGTCAGGTTCTTTACAAATGGTATTTTGATAGATGCTGGATTGTTAATCTGTGCCATATTTGTGCCCACTCTTAAGAACAATGTAGCATTATGTTCATTTGGATAAATTGTGATTTGACAACTGATTTCAATAAAACATTTGCTTCACTTAGATTTGCTGGATTTCTTAGATCATAGGAAGCCTGGGTCCTATGTTTATTGCATCCGAAAAGCAGAGAAGCTAGAACTTACTAACGTAGTCACTACAGGGTCACTGCTTTATGTCAGTTTCAGATTAGGGGAAGTCAAGGCAGAGAGGCCTCCACTGAAATAAACTGGGAGCTTTTCAGGTCGAAGGTCCTGAAACAATGCTACCATCTGGTGGTGCTTCCTGAAAAGTTAATTCTCTTTGTTAATACGTGTTAATGACAAATGCCTCTAGAAAGACATTTTAAGAAGGCTTAGCAGTACAAATGCCTTGCCTAACAGGTGATCTTGGAAAAAATTCTTAAAAGTGTCAAAATGATTTCCACTTCATGGTAATATACAAAAGATTCTGTCAGACAATTGCCACACACATAGAACCGTCGTCCCCTATCTACTGGAGAGTTTCCACTTTTTCATGGGTAGAGACTGGTCTGATGTATACACTTCTTAAATTTTACTTAAACTCAGTACTCCAGTTTGAGAACTTAAATTTCAACTGCCGATTAAATTATTTTAAAGCATAACACTTAAGCAAAACTAGAATAGTCTGTCTTTTTTTTTTTTTTTTTAGCCAAAAGACAGTTGGCTGTTAAAACTGGAAAGTAATTTCTCATAAACCAACAAATCTGATTACAATTTAAAAAAAATTGGCCATATTAGAAATACTCCTCATGCTAAGAGCATATGGCCTTGCACTTGGAGAACATTTAATATCCTTTTAGGAGTTATTTGCACATTTAATAGCCACTTGTGCTTAATTACTAAACTTTAAAATCTCCAAATTAAAAAACAACCTCTGATCTAAAGATCTTTCTTTTGCCAACTTGAGACTTAAAAAAAAAACATGCTGAAACGCTGGTGTCAATTTCTGAAGATCAACTGAAATTTGGAGATGACAGCAGTTTTTAAGGAGTTCATTTGACTTCTAATTATTGACTGACTTCCTTTCTATGGCAGGAAGAAGGTTTGTCCTGTTTTGAACAGATTCAAGATTTGTGTAGTTTATGGTAGTCATTTTTGGGGGATTGAAATTCCATCCTGCCACTTCATCCTATTGGTGTTTGGCCTTGGCCGGGTCATTCTAGCCATCAAAGTTGGTTTTTCAATGGCAGTTGCTTGGTGACTGTGCTCTTTTGATGTGCCCTGGGTTACTCCCGTTCAAGCTCTGTACCTGTGTCCATTAAGCATCATCGCTGTATTAACAGGAGCAATGCCATTAACAGTAGCATGACATACAATTCTGTATTATAATTTTATAATTTTAAAGCTGCTGTTGTGAGGTCGTTAAGCATCAAATGCAAACTGCAGAAGTTGGAGCAAGTGCCTAAACTTTGCTAATTTTTGCATTACTATGGAGCCATGTACAATAGAAAGGAATGCAAGACTTGTACACTCTTGCCATTTCTTATAATTGAGGAATATAAAATGTGCCCCCTCAGGTTCTTTTGCTAATGGTACACCCAAGTTGCCTCTCTCTGCCACACAGATAACTTTGTTCCAATATTTTCCTTTGAGATATTGAAGGGCTGGAAATTTTAGCTCTCAGTGTAAGCTTCAAGCTTAGCAGTTTTCCTTTAATCTGAGACAATATTTGATTCTTACTTCTGTTTGGGCGGGGATGCAGATTTTTCATTTATCTAAATAAAATGCAACCTAATTAAATACCATGGATTTTCTTTCTGTAATTTCACCTTAATTCAATTTTGATTGCTCTTTACCATCATGAGATTCATCACACGTTTCACTTCTACTTTTAACTATACTTAATCATCCCTTGCGACACTGTCCACAAAGCTTCCTGGGACTGTATGAGTGCACAGACATCTCTTCAGTGATTCTTTAAGCTTTTCCGGTTGGGGACCCCTTTGATTAGACTCTCCTTAAGCCTCTGGCTGACCTCCAACTCCACAAATGAGCACAGTTTTATGCAGTTTTTGCTCTGAAATCCCAAACAGGAACCAGAACCAGAGTTAGAAAACCCTCATCCAAAAAAAAAAAGAAAAGAAAACCCTTATCCAACAGCAAGAAAGGAAATGGGTACAGTGCAAGGATTCCCAGGAAATAAGAGGTTGGCACCTGAACGTGACCAGTGTCACATGACTGCACTTCTCATGTGATTCTAGAGACGAATCTGCTGGGCAGCCTGGCACAATTTTGGTACAAATGCAAGTTCCTCCTCACCACCAAGTTCCTTACCATCTCCAACCTATGGTATATCACTGGAATTAGGTAAATGACTTGTCTCTCTCTTTATAAATTAGAAAATTGAGCTATAGATCACCAGTCCTTATGTGATAACACGGATGGTAGCTAAGGCGACCAGGACTTAGAGATGGCATTGTAGTGAAAATAATATAATCATGACTTTTTTAACTGCTGTCACAGCTTAGAAATCAACCCTCCCCCCCCCCCGCCCTTTTTGATGTTTAAATGTTGCAGGCATCTGTACAGCGCATGCCAAGTTGATTCAGTCATGTTTGACTCTGCATCCGCAAGGACCATAGCCCGCCAGGCTCCTCTGTCCATGGGATTCTCCAGGCAAGAATACAGGGGTGGGTTGCCATGCCCTCCTCCAGGGGATCTTCCCAACCCAGGGATCGAACCCAGGTCTCCCGCACTGCAGGCGGATTCTTCACCCGCTGAGCTACCAGGGAAGCCCCCATCTGTACAGTATCCAAAACAATCTCATGACTTTTTGCATATTCTCCTATTTCTTGTTGATATGAAAAATTTTAACACAAGAGTAGTATTACACCCAACCTTAAGAGAAACTTGCCTATGGATAGTATTCATACTTCGAGACCAGAGTTGGAATAATATTTCCTAAGTGACGAAATTAGGACCCAGTATGTTATTTTCCAACAACAGGATCTGGTTTGCTAAGTCCTGGCACTAACTCACCCCTCGGCTTTTTCTTCTTTGTTCGAAACTCCCAGATAACCTGGTCTAATTAGCAAGCACAAGGAGAATACTTTACATTAGGCTAACTTAAAAACCACGTTGTGTTTGATCCTAATTACACTTGTTAGCCTCAGAAGCTCTCCTAATTCCAGGAAAAGCAGATGGGGTT